TGGAGCTTATTACTTTGGAGTTTAATGTTCCAAGGAAGCTCCCGGGCACGCTGTTTATACATGGACCCAGACCACAGCACACTGAGCTGGGTCAGAGCAGCCCTGGCTGGCAGCATCTTGGGGGAGGGGTCAGCCTGCTCTGACCTGGCTCAACATGGTGCAGGGGGGCTGGCTGGGATCCGAGACAGGCAGTCCCCACATTGAAGCACTCTTGTGCTTTAGTCAGCCAGGTCAGTGTCTACACATGCAAGAAAAAACTCTACAGCAGGGTAGAACTTGTAAATATAAGTACTACCTTGCTGTAGAGTTTATTAGTTTCTTGACCCTAATAAGTTTACTGTGGAGCTAGTCAGCTCTGCAGTAAATGTCTGGTGTAGACATGCCCTGGGTAGCCTATTCTAGTGCTTTACTACCCTCCTAGTGCGAAAGTTTTTCCTAATATCTAACCTAAACTTCCCTTGCTGCAACTTGTTCTGTCATCTGCCACCACTAAGAACAGTCTAGCTCCATCCTCTTTGTAACCATCCTTCAGGTAGTTGAAGGCTGCTATTAAATCTCCTCTCAGTGGGCATGTCTACATGTCACCCTATGGCAATGTAGCAACATGCTATGGTGACATATGGCATGCTACAGCGATGTAGCGATCACGTGGGTCTACATGTGATTGCTAGCTACATTGCCGTAGCAGCGCACTCCGTGCTTATAGCATGCTGCTGTGGAGACGTAGCTGGGAAATTTAAGTGTGAGCCATCCGTATGGTGCAGTATGGGCAGTTACTGCACCATGTTTTAGTACTCCAAAAGGAAGTACTAAACAACGCAATAAAGTTGTCACCATACGGTGATGCGTAGACATGCCCAGTATTCTCTTCTGCAGATTAAATAAGCCTAGTTCCCTCAGCCTCTCTCATAAATCATGTGCCCCAGCCCCCTAACCATTTTCATTGCCCTCCTCTGGACTCTCCAAATTGTTCATGTCCTTTTCTTTTGTGGGGGGCCCAAAACTGGACATATTACTCCAGATGTGGCCCCACCAGTGCCCAATAGAAGGAAATAATCACTTGCCTCAATCTGCTGGCAACACTCATACTAATGCAGCCCATATGCCATTAGCCTTCTTTGCAACATGGGAACACTGCTGGCTCATATTCAGTTTATTGTCCACTGTAACCCCCAGGTCCTTTTCTGCAGAGCTGCTACTTAGCCAGTTAGTTCCCAGCCTGTACGTGGGAGTGATACACAGGACTTTCACGAGGTTGGAGTTATTACTTATTTACAGAGCAAATAATATACAGTTGTATTGGTAGTACAGGTGATAAATGTTAATATTCAAACAATATGGTTAGAGCCACTGGCTTACTGACAGGTAAAATATATGTTAACTGGAACTTCCTTTACCTCTTTATAAAAAAGAAAAGAAATGAAGCATATCTAAATTATATCTGGTCCACTGTAGGGGATTTTCTATATTAAAGACTACAGGCTAAGACTTTCTTTTGTCAATACATTTATTGGGCACAAAGAGATGTCCACTTATGGATATTTATTAATACAACATCTGCAAACAGAACTCTGCAAAGTAATGTCTTCAACTAATTAGGTTTATAAAACGTTTTTAGACTTGGGTACCTAAAATAGTAAGCAGATTTTAACTATGTTGAAAAATTTAGCCTTATATATTTTCCCAATTAGGTTTTAAACTGAAACAGCTTTTACATTTTTTGGTTGTATTTTATGAGCTTTTGCTTTTGAAATGTCAATAAAAATTATTCTCTCTCTTATTTTCTTTTTTTTTGTTGCTTTTTTGGAGGATAACCCATTTATTATTTATTAAGCATCAATCATGTGCTCAGTATGATACTAAACAAAGAGACTTGGGCCCTGTGCTAATATAGCTCACACAGAAAAGTATAAAATATGCTGATAGGATTCACATGGTATACTATTTACTTCTAAGCCTTGTAAAAAAGCAAAAATGGCTTATTTTCTATTTTTCGTGTGCTACAAAATGATGCATAATGTTGGTCTAGGATAAGAAACAATTAATAAAATTATACACAGTTTCTAGTAACTAATCATGGAGAAACACTACTATAACTACAGATTAAAATTATTTCACTTATTCTGTATTAGGGTTTTATAGTGCCATGGTCTGTTTTTAACACCAGAATGATACAGGATATTTATAGTTTAAGCCCTCTATAGTCTTCTCAAAGTCCTGTTTGGAAGAACATTAATTTCAAATTAAAATTTAAGGTGAATTCTTAGTTACTATTGTCTGTATTACAATATGCATAAAATCTGAAGTAAATGAATGCCCATTTTAGATGCTAGTAGCTCTCATTTCCTAAAATTGGAATTGGCTGTGTCCTCCAAGCTGCTTTTTAAATGCCTTTACAAATGCATTTCTAAAAAGCTTATAGTTTAATACATAATCGCATTCTTATTACATTGTACACATACCTGTATTCTGAAAGCCTCAATACAAAATCTCTTCCATAAAGAATACTATTTTAGGTACCAATTTTAAAATTTGATATCTACTTTCTTGACTCTACTTCATTGTTATGTAAGGATCTGGTTATAAATTTGAATTAAGAACCTATTCAATGAAAAGAATCTATTGTGCCTCTGCTGATGCATCGTACATCTCATACCAGTAACAAGTTTGGTGGCTTCAGCTCAAAGCCTGCTAAACAGTAAGTAGCTCAGCTTTAAAACAGTTAACAAACAATATCCTAAACTTGGCAACCTATTTATTACATCTGCTCAGAAACACAAAAGAACTGTATGAACACAAATCTGGATTAATTTAATTCTTGGACAGGATTTCCATCAAGCGCAGGTTGAGGATCTGGAGAAGGGTGTGTGAAGTGCACTACTATATATCCCCTAGCCACCAATGAAGAAACAGTGTTCTTCAGCCTGAGTATTTGATATGTGTTCTTTAATCTAAAATATTTATCAGCAGCAAGAAAAAAATAAAAAAGAAGTAAGATCCAGTATAATTTTTTATAGAGGGATTTATATACCAGATAAAATGTTGGGATGGGAAAATCTCCTGGAGCATTACCATTATATTAACACATTTTATTTCATACCTCAAACTAAAATTGAGATTGTATCAAAAGACCTCATTCACAGGAATGTTACATCTTACATACTATCAATCAACATGTATGTAACATTATTTTACTCATCATTTTTGCTGTATAAACCATATCATTGTAATTTACTGTTATTACTGATATAGCATTTTAGAGGAAAAGAGAAGAAAATTTTAGCACATGTTTTTGCCTCAGGTGAACACCAATGTAAATCTGGATGCTGTAATACTTATTTTAAATAGCATGTTTAAGTGAATCAAAAAAAAAGAGGAAAAATCAAGATTTTCTGTGGGATCTCTACTTTCACTTTTATTCAAAATACATTTTTAGTTTCTATGCTAATCTACTTAGTCATTTGAAATGAATGTCTTATAGATGCATAGTATTTTGATATTTTATATATATAATACACACACACACACACTCACTCAAACATATAGTTCTAATGACCAATTTTCAAGTAACATGCAACTAGAGATTGGTTGTGAATTTGAATGACATTTTCCACCTGTGTGATAAAACAATGACCTATTCAGTATGCTGACAATTTGCTTATCCCAAGTTTACATCTGAAAGGGACATACTGTATTTCCTGTTGCTTATTTATATAACAAAGTAAAAAATTAAGTAAAAGTTAATTTTGTTAAAATTACTTGAACTCAGATATTTAAATTACTTAATACTTTCAAAAGTCACAGTTAAGTATTTGATAATTTCTGCTAACAGTTGTATAGAGTACAAAAAGAGAAATGATGCTTTTGAAATCAATGATGAAGTTTTAAATATATTGGCATAAGAATGTAGAAATCTTTTAGCTTTGTAAAACTGACAGTTCAGTACTGAAACTTTATTTTGAAAAGATCAAAAAAGGATTTGCGTCTTTAGAAATAAAAAATAAAACAGGCATATTTAAAAAAAAAAGAAGAAAAAAACTGATTGTTACCACTAATGAAATAGCTGATGACAAAATAGTAGTCTTTTTGATTTTGATCACAAAAAATAAACTGGTAGTGACAGGATATGATGGATAGATTTGACATCCTGGCAAATCACTGTCATTGATTCAATTATTCTAATTCAGAATAAAAGCTGTATACAGTATGTGTTTATGCTACAGTGGAGTTTTTTAAGTGATTGACATTCATCATATTAGTTAGACAGTTTTAAAAGCTATGTCTTTGTTTTACACACTGAGTTGTCAAGAAAAAAATAAAGTAAAACCTGGATTGCATAAGAAAACCAAACCATTTAACCAACTTTTGGTTTCAACCCCTTCAAAATACATTATTATTGCATTAGATTAAAATGTTCTTTGAAGAGTCAATTTCCAATATATCCATATTATATCCTATTATAAAGACTGAGTGTTGAAACTGTAATATAATCTTTGAGATGGTTGATTTGAAAGTTCAATGGAGGACAATATACTACCTTTTGAAATGGACATCAGCTTCATAATAAATAATACAAAACAGTTTAATTTGCAGGTCAACACTGCCTAGTATTCCAAATACGAAGTCATATATAGGAGATGTTTAAAAATATGTAATAGTTTTCTATTTGGAGATATGTGTGTGTGTATACATATACACACCCACACCCACACCCTCTGAAAATATTCATAAGTTCACAAATAGTGTATATGATGGCATAGAAACTTGAATTAGTTTTATTTCTGCTCTGTTTTAGACAAGCATTCTGTGATGCTCTTCCCCAAGCTCCAATGCGCTCTTCTGGTTTTCTAGCATTAATGTAGCTGTCAGTTTGAATTTCAATCTCGAATTATGTCTGTTGACATAATTTCATAGTGCTGACTTCAATTGTTTAGGATTACTGTTTTGAACCACATAAGGAAATCAATTCTTTTTTCTATGTTTAGTAAATTCCACTCAAGTGCATTTTAATACATTTATTAACCCATAAGGCAAACTAATTACCTATAATGTATTCTTACTATGGAGAAATTCTTTCTTCATCAGTTTAATTATTGACATATTAAAACACATGAAATCCTCTAAAGCATTATTTCTAAACACTTATATATTTGATAAAATAATGTAATCCATTTTTAGTTTTAACAATTATATTTTCAAATATACAAAATGAGCTTTTAAAAAAAATTGACACTTGCCTTTTAAACAACATTTAATAATGACTGCTTTACCTCCATTTACGTTCATTAAAGAAAATTATATTTCACATTTATATTACATGCTTGATACAAATCCTATTAAACAGATTAGTTTACTTGTGATAACACATCACAGTTGGCTTTGTTTGGTAATACATCTTGAAATTTAACAGCAAAAGAAATTCTAATTTTTTGAGACAAGAACAAAAGTATTATTCTATTTCAGTTGGGAATAAAGTCATCATTTGCTAATGTAACAAAACCTATCTTGTAAATATTTTTAAAAAACCCAAACAAACCCAAACCTAAAATCTGCAAATGTGTCAAAAGAAATCAGAATGAGAAAATGAGGCACTATCTTATAATGTGCATTTTTAAGGACTGCTGGGTCAAATCATTAAGAAAAATATTTATATAAGTCATTAGCAGTCATAATTAGAGTGTCATATAAATCTGAGTGAAACTGCTAAGTAGAAATCACTAGAAGTCCAGGTGCTTCTTGCCCATGGCCATAGCACCACATCCTGAGCTCAGCAGTTTGGCGGATTCTGCCAGATCCTGTTTGCTTGAGCGGCTCACTGTGTCTGACAAGTCTGGAGGCAAATGCAGTCGCTGTGGCAGGAGATTTTCAGGGGGGAGTGAGCAGGGAGAAAGAGAGAGAGAGCGAGAGGAGAGAGAGAAAGAGAATAATTTTAATTTAATTTACTTTAAATAGCATATTTCAAAATGTATGCCTATTCCCTGCTGACCAACATTTACTCTCACATGTCAATTAATTTTTAGGAAGTTTCTCAGATTGATACCCAAACAGTCCTGTGCATTGCTAATGATATCCTACAACATACTGTGATTCTGCAGACTGGATTAAAATGTTTGTCACGAACATTTCCTGAGTGAACATTCAAGACTGCTAAACTGTGGTCCCAATCCTTCATTTCTTAAAGTAAAGGTTTCCTGAATATCAACAGTAAGACCGATCCCTTTAATGGACATGTCATTACAATATAAATATATTTACTATCTCCAATGCTATGTACATAAATAGTGGCTGAGTCTGAAAAAGGAAACAATACATAATTGAAGAAGAAAAGTCAAATTAATTGTAATACTACATTAGAAGCTTAAAGAATTTTCTGTTCCCATACTTGACTGCCAGATCTTAATAATTAACAATGATAGTACTCTGCATTTCTATGGCACAGGGTTGTCAAACATATAGCCTGCAATACTGCTCTATCCAGCCTGTCAGGCTACCAAAAGTTGGGGGCAGAGCCAGTAGGGGAGTGCAGCCTGCTGCAAAGTTGGGGCCCTGAGACTCACTGGATAAAGTCACTGGTGGCAGAGGGAGTGGGGAGAGCAAGCAAGAGCTGTTCTGACACAGCCCTCCTTGCCCTGTGGCCACTTGGCCCTGCCACTAAACCCCTACTGCCACTGCCAGACCTGTAGCTGTTGCAGCTGCTGGTCCTGCAGATCTGGCCTCAAGGTCTGGATCTGGCCCAGGGTGAGTCTGACAGCACATTCTTATACACTCATCCAATATTTAATGAATTTAACTTTGCAATCTCCTTAGAAAAAACTATGAAATCCATTTTAGAGATGAAGAAATTGAGGCAGGGATTACATGGTTTATCTAATCATGAAGTTCCTGCTCAAGAAACTAGGTATTATCTTCCCACTGTATTAAATACAAATGCTTTAACTCTTGTTCAAAGTATTATTTCAAATGAGAAGTGTGCACTAAGGTACTTTGAGAGCAATGCTGTACCATTACTGCTTATTTTGTGAATTACGGCTTACTTTCTGGGTGAGAGTGAAGTACAAGGATACATCATAGCCAAACAGAAAAGAGTTTTATATTTACAGGGAAGTGATTTTTAAAACTGGCATTTTGAAAGAAGAAAATCTAATAGCGGAAAATGTCTCTTTGTACAGATCTCCTGCTTAAATTTATAGTTCTGATGACAATGGGATATAGCAATTACAGTGAAGTTACACTAGCAGCATCCACAAACCCTGCTAAAGATGTATGCATGTTTGTCTGTGCTATCTTTTTATACTTTTTATGTTGTAACATTTAAATAGAGAAACCTTCCTTTTATTCTATTTCTCCCTGACATTTTTAAATACTTCTTTACAGATGCAGGAAAGCCAATGGAAAATGCCTTGCATGTTCTTTAACATGCCATGTATTCACAAGCTTGTCTAGCTTTTATCTCAACCATACAGTTGGTCCAATAAAAGATATTGCTCCCAAAAAATCCTTACCTCTTTAAAACATAAAAACTGATTGTTAGACTTGTCAGGCTGTGGAATTGTGCAACTGGTGGTAACCTATTTGCCTATTACAATTATTTTGATTAATCTATGTAGTATTATTATTAGCTAGCGAGTTTGGTAGTCACTAAAAGCGATTTATAGGAGGGAAATAAAAGACTGTTTTGGAGTATGTGTTCTTCAAGGAAACAGGAAGCAATGCATGTGTTACAAGGAGAGTAGAAAGTCTGTATTCCTAGAGTAGTGGGTCTTACTGCTAAAATACTGCATGTATGGGTGCATGTATGGGTGCAGTTATACACTACACACTCTCTAGTGACAATGATAATGACAACTAAGGATCTGTGTATTATATTACTGTAAACTGCAGGTAGTATTAGTGTAGTGGTTCCCAACCCTTTCAGTCAGGGCACCCTCTACGACTTCCTTGAATGTGGCAACATCTCCGGTTGAGAACAACTGCTGGTGCTGCCTCAGCTTACCTCAGTTCTTCTCAACTGGGTGACAATACTTCCAGGTAAAACTGCCCTATGTGCCTGCTACACAGCCAGGCCAGGAAGGACTGTGGCATATGCACAAGGTCCTTCTGCATTAGGGCTCTCTGGTAACTCTAAAGCAGGACAGAAGAACTGAATCAGCTGTAGCCCTTCCTGGTCTACCTTCCCCTCACCCATGCTCATCCTGGAAAGGGAGGCGCATGAGTGAAAAGTCAGTTGACACTAGCTGCTGTGTCACAACTGGAGCTGAAAGGGCAAAATAACTTCCAACATATAGGAGATATGGGAAAACACTGCTAGCATGCCTCTGACCTCATCTGGTGCCAAGAGAGGAGACTTCCTCTATGAGAGACAGGGGTAGCACAATCTCCATTCTCACTCCATTACTGGCTTCTTTGCCAAGTCTCTCAAATTAATTCAGTGCATAGTCAAGCACACTCATCTCATACAGGAACTACCGATAGTGCATTATAGGGAAACAACTTTATTTCCTGTTAACCTGCACTGGATTCAAACTCATGACCTATAGGAAAAAGATTCTCTAGCAAAATAATGTTGCTCTGAGCTATCTAGTCTCCCAGTAAGTACTAACTGCATATTTTCTATACATGTTACCTTGAAAAACTAAGTATACCGCATGATCTCAAGGCAGACACCCTAAAAAATTAGGAACACCCAATTAGATCATGTGAAAATTTGTTTCAAGTGATGTGGTAGTACCACACACAGGAACTCTGCAGCAGCAGTGTGGATAGAATCTAATTCTCCAGGGCATCATTCAGCAAGTTTAACAATGAGATCTTCTCACTTCCTGCAATCCCATGCCTTAGACTACACACTTTTCAACTACATAGGGGCCCTTCAGATAGCCCCTTTCATTATACATAACTCCTTCAGCCCCCCAGTAAGCCAATCCTTTGTAATGAATGGTGCAGGGGCCGTGTGGAAAAAATTGTATGTGAGCACACAATTTCAGACTCTATTGTAACATCTATGAAGGAGGAGGTTTAATTAAGGTTGTAAAGGCAACCTAAATTCAGGCCCTTCCTAGCTTTTGAATGTTTGACTGCAAACCTTTTAATGTTCCTATGACATGGGTGTCAGTGTGTGCATGCATGAACATGCACATGTAATTTCAGACATTTAAAAAAATTAATCAATAAAACAAAGTCCTTCATGTAACATTACATAAATGCAACTTGACATAAATATGGGTCATCACAGCAGGGTTGTAACTTTTAGAATCACTGCAGAGACCTCTGTCACTTAAGCTAACAAAGTAGCTCATAGCAGCAGTAGATTATCATCTACATGGACCAGAAAAATGAGAGAATTTGCTAGTGGGTTTTAGAGAGATTTGCTGATCTGAGAAATGGTGAGACTCAGGAACATGCTTTCTATTCCAGCTTCTGGCAGGATACATCAGTGGGCACAGACTTTCCTCCCTACCCTAAATATAACCCTTTTTGCTTTGCCTCTTCCAACTAGTCCTTGGCCTATTCTTCACTTCCTGATCTTCGTCTCCTTGCCCCAGTCCCATTTCATTCATCTAGGGAGTCCATCTCTCTTTCACAGGGGTCTCATCCTACACCCAGTCTTCTTACCAAACAGATCCTAGTCTTATCACTCTGTACTCCTTGTCCCAGGCTGCAGTCCTGCTTCTCAGCTAATTCCACTTCTCAGCACCCATCTGAGCTATTACTCCACTAGCCGTGGTTCCCAGTTCCCCTCCTTTGTCTATCTCCTCTGTCTCCTGTCCCAAATTCCCTCCTGAGCTTCATATTCAATGTGTCACCTGCTATTCACTACTCCCCAAGTCACATCTAGTTCCCCCACAAGTCGCATCTAGTTCCCTGCTCTAGTTCTTTGCCAACTTGTTCTCCCCTTACCCTTTACCCTTCATTTTTTCCCCACCTTACTTGTTCTTAGTCCCAGTCTCCCTCACTGGTTGGCACCGAGTCTCTGCCCTGTTTCCTCCTCTGGCTCCCTGTTGCAGTTGCTCCAAGTCCCATTCTCTATATGTATCCTGACTACTCCCAATCTTTCCCCAACCCAGTCCCAGTTTCATTTTCCTTCCTACCACACTTTAGTCCCATTTTCTCCTTCCCATTTCCTCGTCACAATCTACTCTCTTTAATCTCATTTGCCAGTGAAGCTCTTATCTTTTCTACATTCAAATGATGTAGCTTCCTTCTCCAGCCACTTTTTTCCTAGCAGCTTTTTTCTTCTTTGCTCTGAGATCAGGTTCCTGTACCTGAATCTGACACATCCCAAGGAAAGTCTTGCTCAGCTGTGGGCTGAGGCAAACTCAGTGTGAAAAACTATATTGCTCAAAAGAGCCAAACTTAAAGAAGGTTGCTACTAAGCAAGTGTGAAGCGTGATTTTTTTTTTCTGGAGGCTTTGAACTTGCCCAGAATTGGCCAGATTTTCACAGGGACAGCAAAAAGTACATTCCTCATACAAGGCCTCACTCTCCCCCAGCCCAATTTCAAAGCATGAGGGAAACAGAGGTTTTCAAAAAGTGACCAGAATACATTCCCCCTAGCCTCATTCTCAGAAATGATTGAACCATTTTGGCTGAAATTCTCTAAAAAATTCAGCTGGAGGCAGAACAACACAGAATATTTTAGCTCAAAATTATGTGAAGAGGGGTTATAGAAGCTCTAGTATACAGTTATATTAGTATACTAGAGCTTTTGCTGGTACACCTTTTTCAATTGGGCAACTGATATAAAGCATATGGTAATTCCCTCCCTTCTGCCAACAGAATGGCCTTAAGAGGCTTTGCCAATACAGCTAAACCAGTAAACCTTTTATAGCATAGCCTAGGTCTCAGTTAA